CAGCAAACTAATGCTTAGATAGCTAATGCTGCTCATAGGAACCTTTCCACTAGGATTCTGAAGATACGAGAACTTGACAGCGAGATTTCCAGAAATCATAGAGTGAAGGATTACTCTGGTTCTTCCTCTTATCTTTGATTTTTTAAAAAATTAGTTAATGTTTTTCCCCCAGCTTTATTGAGATATAATTGACCAATAAAATTGTCTTTGCTTTTGTTTTAAGAGTGATGAGGCAGGGAATCTTTGAAGACAGTTTTCATTTTCTTGGTTACTTTTTCTTTGGAAATTAAGTTTACAGCACATGTTCAAAAAACTAGATTTTTAAATAATTTGGTTCACCTGCCTTCATGAGTGATTATGAGTAAAGATCAGCCAGTAAACTCTTCTGAGGTCCTAATGCATATTTCCAGTTGTCTACTGGACTTCAGGATGGTGGCCCACAGATACTTCCAACTCAGCATGTTCCCATCTCAACTCATTACCTTTCTCCACCTGCTCGACCTCTTGTATTTTTTAAAAAGTTAGAGACTTTATAAGTCACTCAATCTAGAAACCTTAGATTTTTCAATTTTCTTCAGTTGAAATTCTTTAGAATCTAGTTCAGAATTATTTTTTGAATATGCCTTTTTCTCTACATCCCCACTGTTACTATCCTACTGTAAGTCCCCATTCATTCATTCACCTATGAAGGGCGTTTGCTGTGTGCTTGCACTGTGTCAGCCATTCTGTTCTGTGCTGGAATACAAAGGTGAACAAGACATGGTACTTGTCCACAAGGAACTTACCTGTAGGGTGGGGGGTGTGGGGAAGGATCAAAAACAAAGAATGACAATAACATGTGATGTGTTTTACATGTATCATTCCTCTTCTAGCCGTTACAAAAGATCTTGACCTCTCTCTGCCTTTCTTCTCTCCCTCCTGGATCCACTCTCTTCACTGCTGTCCGCATTACCTTTCTAAAGTACAGATTTTGATCATGATCTTGAACACAATCATTTGTCTCCCTGTTGCCATAGTCCTCAGTATGCTATTTGTTCACAAGCTTTCAAAAGCTGGCCCCATAACTACTTCCCCACTTCTCTGTCCCTTTGTTCTTGAGCTTTGAACCCTATACTGTAGCCACATTACCTCCACATTAGGCCCCTAGTAGATCTCTAAATACGCCACATGTAATCTCACATTTCTGTGTCTGTTTTCTCCTGTTTCTTTTGCCTTGAGTATCTTTCAAACATCATTCAACACCTGGCTAGCTCTTACTCATCTTCAATCTCTTAGTCATCATTTACTTCCCTCAACTTCCCTACCCTTGGGCAGAATTATATTGTCCTTTTAATATACCTCTCTTGTTATACAATTGATTTTTTTGCATTACAGTTAATTCATAACTTAGATGTTGAATTTCCTCCCAGCACCTAGCATAGTGCTCAATACGTATTTTTTGAGTGATTGGGAAAAGTGTATAAAATATTTAAAATATACAGTGTGCCACTGTAAAGGGCATTTTTATTTTTACTGGTACTGTATTGTGAAAATGTAAGCAGAGTGTCTAAGTGCCCAGACAGGGTAATCAAAATTCCTGCATTTGGAAATCAAAAGACTCTCATGCCTATTTTTCATCCCCTCTCTTTCATGTAAAGTTTGGGGATATGAGTTGGGACATTTCTGGTAGGTTATGCTGAGTTTCCAAAATGTAACATGGGATTAAATGACCTTAGGAGTTCCCATCAGAGAAGTGGTGGTGAGAGAGAGTATTCCTTGGGGATGCTGGAGGTCAGGAGAAAGTCCTACTTTCACTTCACTGATGTGACTGAAGCTCTTTCCCAATCTGTCTCATGGTTCTGGTAGTGAGGTATATGTGGATGTGAATGTGGCAATACTTGGAGATAGTTGAAAACCTTAGACATGAGATGACCTAGACATGATTCACCCGTGCTGTCAGCGCATCTTCCCTAAAAACTTTGTGAGTAAGTGGCAAGATATCTGGGCCTAAGTGCTTTTTCCTACCAAGCCCTGCCTTGAGAATGCAAGCATGATGCTTTAGAAAAGAATCTGCCCCACATCCAATTGGATAAAGATTTCTCATACATTTGGGGAAAATCACTCTGAAAATTTTCATCCTTTATTGCAGATTAATCCCCAGAATTTCATTTCGTGGCATGTCCACTATTTCAAAACATTTCCCACAGGGAATTCTATCAATGGATAAGAAGTCTGCAGAAGGTTACAGATAAGGGCTGGAATTCTTTCCTTCCTTTTTTGAAGCTCAGTTTCCAAGAACTAAACCATATGATCCCTAGACCTGGTTTAGGGTTGCATGCTTTCAGGCCCTTAGAATGTTGGAGCTGGAAGGGACATGAGGGACCATCTGGCTCAGCTCCCTCACTTTACAGATGATGTCAGGGAGGTTAATGGCTTTTTAAGGCCGCATAGCTAGTTGAGGTGGAGCTGGGACGAGGCCCCAAATCTCCTAACTCTCAGCTCAGGGATCCTTCCTCTACACCAAGTTAGACACAGGCAAATTCCTGTATGAGATGAATGGAGCAGTTTCAAAGTTTAAATATAGAGCTTTAATCATTTCAGATATGGCCATGTTCCCCTGCTTTCCTGGGACCTAACCTTCACCGTGGGCCAGCTCTCAGAGGCAGCCCTGTAGGAGGCTTATGCTGGCAGTCCTTATCTTAGACCTGCTGTTAAAGGAGCCATAGATAAATGGTGTTAATGGTGATCAATATTTAACTTAGATTTGAGGGGCTGGCTAATTCAATCAACTTATCTGGTATCTGCTTGTCCCCCCATTGCTGTCAGGAATCTCTAGTCCATCCTCAATCTTTGGCCTCCTTGGGAACTACTTCCTACCCCTGTGACAGACCTGCCCCTTCTCTTCCTACCCAGTTCAGCCCCTCCAACGCAGGATACCTTTGCTTCTCCTCAGTGGGACTCTTCCACGGAGCCAAATAGAACTCTTGTTCTGCTAAGAATAAACTCCTCCTTCACCTTTCCCCAAAGCCTCTCTTCTGCCTCCTTAATCCTGTCCCTGCAACTTTCTCCAACAGAGGCTTCCCTTCTCCCTCTCCCAATGGCTCACAGATTCGGGAGGTGAGGAGTGTGAGTGCCTTCATTTTTCTCCAGATTATGCTCATTAGTCATCCTCTGGCCCTCTCAATCTTTTTATAATTATTCAAAAAATTCTTAGTGACTCACCAAAGCGTCCTCAATTTCTTCCAAATCCTTTCTTCTCTTTAAACCTTGAATGATAGTTCCATGTCCTCAGGCTTCATAGATGGCTCCATATTCTTCCTTCAGAGATGATTGAGGCTTTTCCTTCTTTTTATCTCAAAATTTGTATGTATCTTTCCCCATATTTTTGTTCTTCCCTGCTGTTTTAGAGAAAGGAGTCAAAATTTCAAGGCCCACTTCCTCATGATTCCTGGATTCTGGCCCATCTGCCTGCTCTGGGGCATCAGGACCCACATCTCTGAGTTGTGTTTCTTGGTATTTCCTTCTCACCGGATGAACCTTTCCTCCCCTTCTGCGTCAGAATTACCTGAGGTATTTCAAAAGTGTTGTTCTTGGGTCCTTTCCCAAAGAGTGCTTTCCAGTTAGTGTTGTATCTCCAGTGCCTAAATGAAAATCTTCAGATCTGGTGCCTAGAATGTGCATTTTGTCTTAAGATTAAAAAAAAATTGAAACTAGAATCATGTGTAGGCTTCCCTTATTAAAAAAATAACCATCCTGTGTTGGCTACCTGTTGCTGTGTAACAAATTATCCCCAAATTTGGTGGCTTAAAACAGCATTTCTTATCTCACTGTTTTCTGTGGGTCAGGCATGAGGACATGGCTTAGCCCAGTCCTCTGCTTTGGGGTCTCTCAGACTGCAGTGTTGGCTGGAGCTGCTGTCCTCAGCAAGGCTCAGCCAGGGAAGGATCTGCTTCCAGGTGCATTCATGTGATTGTTCGCAGCCCTTGGTTCCTCATGGGCTGTTGGTTTGAGGGCCTTAGTTCCTTACTGGCTGTTGGCTGGAGGCCACCCTCAGTTCCTTGCCGAGTGGGCTTCTCTGTAGGGCAGCTCATAACATGGCAGCTTGCTTCACCAGAGTGAGCAAACTTAGAAAACCCAGAGCAAGACAGAATGCAAGTAAGACAAAATCACAGACTTTCATAACCTAATCTCAGACATGACATCCCATTGCCTTTGCAGTCTTCTGTTGTCAGAAGTGAATCTCCAGTCCAGCCTACACACAAGGGGAGGGGATTAAACAAGGCTGTGGATATCGGGGGGGTGGGGCGTGGATTATCAGAAACCTTTTAGAAACTCACTCCCATACACCCCAACCCCAAAGCCCTTTTCTCAAACTAGCTGCTGCCCATTTAAGGTGTCAACTTATTTTTCTCCTTATATTTACCACTCAGCTTCTCAAGAGAGGAGCTAAATTGGTGGCCTTCATTGTCTGGCCACATCTTCACTCTTTAACCTATTCCACTGTGGTTTCCACTCTTGCCACTCCATACAGCTATCTTTGAGAGCTGTGAGTGGATTGATTGCCAAGTCCTCTTCTCCTTCTCCTCTACCAGGGCCTCTCTGCAGCATCTGATTACCTTTCCTTCTTAAGATTCTGTTTTAGCTTTCATGATACTTTGCTTTCCTGGGTCCTCAAACTCTCCTGTTCACTTCTTCCCCGTTTATTCCTCTACTAACTCCTGCCCCCCCCAACTTTTTTAAAAAAATTAATAGTTGATTTACAATGTTGTGTTAGTTTCTGGTGTACAGCACAGTTGATTCAGTTATACATACATATATGTGTGTGTGTGTGTGTGTATGTGTTTGTATATATATATATGTATGTGTATATATATGTACATATATACACTTTTTCATGTTCTTTTTCATTATAGGTTATTATAAGCTATTGAATATAGTTCCCTGTGCTACACCGTAAGACCTTATTGTTTATCTATTTTGTATATAAAATTTTTAACTGCTAATCCCAAACTCCTAATTTAAAAAATGTGGAAAGCTTCACGAATTTACATGTCACCCTTGCACAGGGACCACGCTAATCTACTCTGCATCATTTCGGTTTTAATATATGTGCTACCAAAGTGAATACTGCCCCCCAATTTTGACCAACTGTTACACAATACTGGACATAATAATTTTGTATTTGAATAGGACATAATATCTGAGAAAGACTGAAAAAGTTTGGGACCAGCTCAAGATGTCATCTAGGGGCAGAGAAATGACCAGTCCACTAAGCCTATTTGGAGGGACAGTATAAGAAAAATAAAATTACATTAAAAATGAATGCTGTCACCTGTCACAATCACAAGGAACCTAAGGAGATCTGGTGACTAACTGCACTGTGGTGTCCTAGATGGGATCCTGGAACCAAAAAAGATATTAGGTAAAAAGTAAGGAAATCTTAATAAAGTAAGGACTTTTGTTAATAATAATTAATCAATATTGGTTCACTAATTGTGACAAATGTACCAGACTAACGTAAGATGTTAAAAATGGGAAACCTGAGTGTGGGGTCTGGGAACTCGGTGTTCTAGTCACAATTTTTCTGTAAATTAAAAAATATTATAAAGTAAAAAGTTTATTTTTAAAAATGCACCCTATCAAGCTGCACTCTTCCATGTAAAGGTCACACTAGTATTTGTATGTTTACATTAATGTCTCATGTCTCTACAAGATCCTACCTTCAGGCTTGTGCTCACCTTTCTACCTCCTTAGAACTAAGCTCAGGGCCTCACATGTTCCGTAAGTAATTGTTGGTCGAACGATTGTGAAATAGCAAAGTGCACTCTTGGACAGGCTGTTCTGTAAGGACGTAATTAACCCAGTTGAAGCCAAGGGTGATGGGAACGTTTTACTGGCCTTTGTCTTCAGTTCATTCAGTTCATTCAGTTCAACCAAACCTCTAAAGTGGTGTGTTTCCACTTTCTTCTTCAAATTATATGTTCCTGCTCTGTTTTTATCTGTCACTTCCTCTTCTTTCTTTTGTCTTTTTCTATTATGGTTTCTTCTACTGTAGTGTGCTTTCCACTCATTTTGACCCAAACAATGGTGGTTCTTCCTAATGTATTGTGGTCTAGTGGGAAATTTTTTGAGTGTCAGTGATGAACTGGGACTGAAGCAATAGGAAAACAAAGACGTTTGGTTCTGGATGTGTGCCACCCAGGTAGCCACAGATCCGGGACAGGAAAGCTTTGTGCCACTTCCCATGGAATTAGTCAAAATGAACTTGTTTTTACTAGCATTATACAATTAGACATAATCCCCATATTTCATCATTTTAGAACAGTTGTTTTGGTTTCCATTAGCTTCAGTTTTAGTGTTTGCTCATGGATATGGTTATCAAATAAAAGAAGTCTCCTTTAATGTTACAGGCTCCCATCTCTACATCATAACAAACATTTGCATATTTAGAAATATTTACCTCCTCCTCCCCCTCCCTCTCCATCCTCCTCCTCCCCTTCCTCCTTCTTCCTCTTCCTTTTCCTCTTTTTCCTCTTCTTCCTCTTCTCTCTCCTCCTCCTCCTTCAGTTCTTGTCATGTGGCTTGCTTATCCATGGACTTGAGTTTTCCTGGGCCTTGCAGAGTGTCTTCTTTCTGTTCTCTCTTCATGTTTCAAAAATAACATGCTATTCTCTGTAAAGGCAACTGGTGCTATCGGCTGATCCTAAAAATGGCTGAATGGGAGTCAGCTGATTTCTGTTGGTTTTAATCAGTTGTTTGGGGTCAAGTCCAGGATGTAACATGAGAATAAATGCAGTTAATGAGATCGCAAAGTTCTGACCTCAGGAGCACAATTTTCTGATCCTCTGATCTAACTGGCTATAGAGTACGATTAAAAATGCTGTGTATTTTTATAGCATTTCATGCTTTCAGAGAAGTTAATTTTATCCAGTTCTCATACACTTAAAACATAGTTCTTTCAAGAATTATAGTTCTCAGGTTTTCAGACCAGCATGGTGCTGGTTGGGAAGTATGACTAAGGGGGACTGGGTGTTGAGGGGACTAAGTTGGAGGTGGACTTCCTTGGACTGTGTTTCAGAGTTGTGAAGGCTTAGCAGGGCCTGGGACGGAGTTTATGGTCCTTCACTGAGGCAAGGACTGTGTCTGTCCTGTTAATGCTCTATCCCCAGTGCCTAGAATAGCACATGGCACAGGGTAGATACCCAGGGAAAGTTGGCTCAGTGTGTCTCGGTGGAGATGAGAGAAGGAAGCTGAAACAGGCAAAAGGTGTGATTCAGTCTCATCATCCATGTCCCAAAATAGAGATTTCAGTCAACAGTCTTGGAGAGGTTGTGGTTCCCAAATTGTTCCTATTTGTAAGACAAGGATGAGCTTAGCTCTATTCCTACTTCCCTTTTTGTGTCCAACAGAGAGGATGAGTTAATAATTAGATTAGTCACAGTCCAGGACATTGAGCCATATTTACTAGTGGGTGGGATTTGAAGGACAATGGGCTGGTGTGTTTACCAGCCCACCCAGGTTTGTGGGAACTCATCTCTTTGGTCTTCTACAATTGACCAGAAAGAGGTAAGACTCTTCAACCATTAGCTTGGGACACGTGTCAGCCCAGCTTACCAGGGAGCTCTGTAGTGGACTTTTAGGCCCAAACCCAGTTAGATGGTTAGACAGACATATGTTGGCTTTGTATTTGGTATTTTCCCTTGTGCTCCCATCTCTTAGGAATTCACAGGAAGGAGGGCTGTAAGTCAAAGCAGGTCTTGAGTACTCCTGGACCCGCTGGCCGGACCCCACCTCACCTAGATTCCTTATGCTTCTGTTGGAGGCATTATTCTCCTTCTGCTTTGCAGCAGCTCTTTAATCTGAAGGGACCCAAGAGACATGCAAACATCAGTCACCAATGAAACCTCCCATGTGTAGATCTTACAGTCTGTTAGTCCTACTTGTTCCTTCTTCTACCCCCATCTCTAGGCTTGTCTGCAGTGGCTTTTGTAAATAGCCATGTATTAGTTTCCTGGGATTCTGTACCAAATCCACACAAAGCTGACTTATTAAAACAACAGAAGTTTATCCTCTTACAGTGCTGGAAGCCAGAAGTCTAAAACCAAGTCAGCTCTACTCCCTCCAAAGGCTATCTCTTTGCCTCTCCTGCTTCTGGTGGCTGCTGGCTTGTGTCTGCATTGTTCCAGTCTCTGCTTCTGTCTTCACGTGGCCCTTTCCTCTTCTGTGTGTGTCAAACCTCCCTCCACCTCCCTTTCAGAAGGGTGCACGTAATGGCACTGGGGCCCACCTGGATAATCCATATGACATCTCCATCTCAAGATCCTTAACTTATTCACATCTGCAAAGACACTTTTTCCAAAGACAGTAATGTTACAGGTTCCAGAGATAAGGACCTGGTATTTCTGGGGCCACCATTCAGCCCAGTTTAAGCAGATTCTAGAATCTTGCTTTTATCTATCTTTCCCCTCTCCCTCTCCCTTTAAAAAAGAGAGTGGTATGTCCACAAATAAATTTCTTTGAGCAGATTAAGCCCCCAGGTCTTGTTCTTGGGCATGGTGCTGGAAAGGACAAACAACATCTCACTTCTTCTAGTTGCTGTGACTAATTCCAAATCCTAATAGAAAACACAACTTCTAACCGTGGCTGCAGGAATTCTAAGCAGGGTCTCCATGACACCAACATCTGGATGAAAAGTAAAAACAAACCCCAGACCCCCAGCCAATTAACCAGATGTTTGTTTCCAAGCATCTAGATGTTTGGTCCTTGTATTTGGGGTGCAGGAAACACCGTGGAGGTGGTCCTGAGGAGAGGAGAAGCCAGTGTCCCTTCACCCCGACCTGCCTGAGGAAGGTCAGAGGTGACTAGGCTAGCCTGCTGACAGGGAGGCAGGGTGTTCAGGGTCTGAAGCTGAGGGCACGCTCTCAGGAGTGGGATGAGATGAGAAAGGGAGGGAGGAGGGACTTCTCAATGCAGAGTTGTAGAATTGTGTCCAAGAACTTGGAGTGGAGGCAGAACCAGTGGAGGATGAAGACAGAACTATCCTCAAATGCTGGGATCCTGACCCCTCAAAGCAGCCATATCAAAGATCAAAGGGACAAAGTCCGTGCATTCCAGACGGAATCAGTGCAAAGCGCAACTATGAAAGCATTCTTGGCTGTCGTACCCTCGAGTGCAGTGAGCGGCTCTTCGCACGGCACTCTGTGTTCTGCCGGCAGAGTCGAGAATGCTCCTTTTAGTCTTCTCGGGGTCTGGGCTATGACAGCGGGTATTTTCAGCGCAATCGAAACAAGATGCTTCAGTGCGTTGGCTCCTTTCTGCTGGGGGCATTTTGGGGCCTCTAGAAATAGGAGTATGAGGGACCCTGTCTCTTTAGTTTCTGGCCGTTCAAGAGCAATTTAACCCATTCACTTCACGGCCAGGGCTTTTGGAACAGTCCCTTGGTTGACAGCTCCTTTTGCTTTCGGGACCTTCCTGAAAGGCTCGATTCCAGGGTCTGGGTCAGAGGAGGCTGCCAGGCTTGGTCCCTGACCAGAGTGTGCTTGACAAAAGGATGGCAGGAAAGTTGCTTGGGTCTAAGCCCCTGGGCCTTTGGTCTAAGGTGGTGATGTGCTTTCTCTTTCCCAGATCATGGCGACTCATTACTTCTCCAGCCCCTGGCCAAGAGTTTCGATTGGCTAATGGATGAGGGCCATGTGACTTGTCAGCTGAGGACCAACATCCAGATGGGCAAGAAGAGTCAGTGTAATTGGGGGTTAAGGGCCCAAGCCCTGAACTTAGTGACTCTGCCACTTACTAGGAGAGTGACCTTGGTCCTCAGCTTCCTCCTCTGTGGAGGGTGAGGATAGTGCCCACTCTTTAGGCTGTTTGTGAAGATTACGTGTGATAACGTCTGTAAAGCACCAGCTCAGTGACTATAGTGAATGCTCAATAAGTGCTAGCCATTTTTATTGCACTTATAAAAGCACTTCTCAGAGAATGTCCGTTCTTCCCCCCTTCCCTTCTCTGCCCACCCCCGCTTCCCTCTCCTTGTAGGATTGCACATGTGGGAACCGGAAACAGAGAGACAGAGAGAGACAGAGAGAGAGAGGGAGAGAGAGAGAGAAACAGACAGACCATGGATTCTTTCAT